TTTTCGGATCAAGTTCGAAATGGCCGACTGGTGGCCCATTTGTTTTTAAAAAATCAGTTCTGATCCATATCTGAGACATGCCTGGATTGATCGAGTTCAAACTTCACACACACATGGTACATCATGTCACAAATAGATATGTGCATTTGTTTCATGATCCGCTTAACAATAGCTGAATGATGGCCATTTTAAGGCCGAAAATGCATCAAAATCACGTATTTTCACAATTCCGGAACCGGATCTCAGTCATGCATGGATGGATTTTGTTCAGATTTAGTACAATCTGTTGTACATATGCAGGTGCATTTCGGATCAGACCACGGAAAGTGGTCTGCAATTTCGGTCATGATCTGCTTTGAATGTATATGTCACTCAAATATGAACGGAACGGGGACGTGTCATTGACAATGACTTGTTTTATTTACAGGCTGCTTTGAACCATTCTAGTTATGATTTAGGTTTAAAAATAAAGATCAGAAATAGGATATTTTACAGGCTGCTCACTCTAGTTACGAATTAGGTTTTTAAATAAAGATAGGAAATTTGTTGGGTGTTTTTCAAGACCAACGTTGATTGCTGATTTTTTTTTTTATTTGTGGAAAAAATAACCGAAGCCTGAGGAAAGCAGTAGTGGCACACAAACACGTACATGTATCTGAAAAAAAGTCAAGTTCCCAGGTCGACAGTAGTTGACGCAGACTTACAAAAAGTCCGCCATTTTATGTTAATTACCAACGGCAAAGGATCACTTGCAGGTCACGCAACACACAACATAAGAAATCATAACACGTAGCAATCATAACATGTACCAAAGTCACTGAAATTCACTCATTCACATGTGCATTTGGTTGCCTTGCAAAAAAAAAAATAATGAAACGCGCTGAGTGTTAATAGCTGAGGACAATGGCCTGCTTCGGGGGTCATGGGACGCAACCATCCACTTCTACCAGACATCACGAGAGACATCATCAATGTACCAGAAACAAATTTGCATAGCGTTGCAACTATGTGTAATACTTGTGTATGAACTGACTTATTTCGTATTTGTGTTGCACATATGGAGCATATGTCTCATTTTGAAAAAATAAAAACTATCAAAGCCTGCCTTTTTAATGCAAATTTGCATCAATCTGTACTCAGACATATAAATAAACACACTGCAAATACATATAAGCATGTATAAAAATCAAGATGTAAAATGAATCAAAAACATTTTTCTAGCGTCTTTAGGTAAATGTACGATTCCTCGATTGAGGCTCACTAAATGTAGCCAGAGATGAATGAGCCCGTCATTTTAACGGCATAAGTAGTGTGAAATTACCTGTGAAGCAGGACGCTGGGCGGCAGCGTCTGACGCGCCGGCTCGATTAGCAAGCATTGTTTGAGGTGTTATGTTCTTTGTTGGAGGTGTTACATTCTTTGTTACTTTCATTTTTTTTCAATCATACCGAAAAGGTAAGTTATTTTCACGGGAAAATACCGCCAAAGATATTGATAATCAATTACTATTGGAAGGAATAGCACCTCAATTGCCATTGGTTCGAAAGGTGTATAAGAAATGCAAGTTTTTCACATTATACCATCATTGGTCTTTTGGCCTTCTGCGACTCGGGTACTCCCAGTAGCAAACACGCTCGTTTATTTTACCAGGCATACTTTTAGATTTGTTATTCAAACCCTTTATTCCATTCTACTACTAATTCCATAACTTTTAATTCGATTCCACTCGGCTTCAGATTTGCTGTTTAATTCAACTTTAAATTTTCTATTCCATTTGACTTATTTTTATTTTGTTTAGTTCAATATGGCCTTTTATCGACAGGCTTGCCCAATCCGTGGTATTGAGGAAACCATACCATTCCTCAAGGAACATAGGCTTTTGGCAACGGAGCAAAATTGTCTTTCTTGTGTTCGGCCTATGGTTTTGGCACCCGCTGACAGATTTAATTGGCGATGTTCAAATAGGGATTGCGCACAATTTCGAACCCGATTTTCAATTAGACATGGCTCTTTTTTTTTCCAAGTCACGTTTACGTTTGGACATTCTTTTAAAAATTATTCTAAAATGTGAAGTGTGCAGTACAAAGCTGATGGCGAAGACATCAGTTGGGCGGTCCAGGCACTGTGGTTTGAAATTGACGAAAGTTTATTTTGCCACAAGTGAAGGCATCATTGCGAAAGGGCCCCGGCTGAAGAAAGGTGGGTGTTTGTAATGGTGGATAGGTTTTTTAAACCATCCATCCATATATGCAGATAGTCGAACGCCGTGATGCTGCCACCCTTCTTCCAATAATTCAAGACAAGGTTGTTCCTGGGACCACCATTCATTCGGCCAGTGGACAGCCTACCAACAACT